CCTGCTTCTCCCTCTCCCACTCCCCCTGCTTGTGTTTCCTCTCTCACTGTGTCTCTCTCTGTCAAATAAATAAATAAAATCTTAAAAAAAAAAAACCAAAAAAGTCAAATAGGAAAGACTGCTGCAATAAAGCACTGTTTCTGAAAGTTGCAGACATGATCCCATCACTGAGAGCTAAGCACTGCTTCTCAGAGTCAGCAACTTTTCACCTTTACCTAGGCACACTAAGTTCTCAGCTGAGAAAATAATCTAACCTGGTCCTTAACATATTCATTAAGTAGTATGAATATTTTAAGGTCTTTCTGCCTTCAAGAAAAAACTTGACATCTCACTAAAGAGTAGTAAGGAGTGTATCTTACTTTGAGACATTAGACTTTCTGGAATTGGCCCAACTGTATAAAATTTTAAGAAGTGTGTGAAAGTATGGAATCATTATTACTCTACATTTTACTGTATTTTTTTAAGCCTTTTTCCTATGCATACATTTTTCCACATGATTGTGATCATTCTCTATACAGTTTGTATTCTCCCTTTTTATTTTCACTTGGTCGCATACTGTGAACATTTTCCAACACCTGTACAATATTTAAGCTTGCATAATTTAGGGACTATCATATTCTATCATATGGATGTCCCATAATTTATTCAGACTTTCTCTTAGGGTTTTTTCAATTTTCCACTTCTGTAACTATAGCTCAGATGAGCATCTTTATACTGAAACCTTTGCTGCATCTGGTATTATTTCCTTAGATTCTTAGAAGTGGAATTACCAGATCGAAACATATAAACTTTTAAAAGTTCTAGATGCATATTTTCAAACTGCATCCCAAGAAATCTGTAAAATTGGCCCTCTACCAGCAGTGACTGAGATGGTTGATCTCTTAGTACTCTTAGCAGCAATGAGTAGAGTTGAAGTGGGGTTTTTTAATCTTTATTGATTTGAAAAATTAAAAAAAAAAGACTGTTTTCATTTGTATTTTTTGGTTATCAGTGAGGCTGGATATCTTTCAAACTTTTAATAATCAATGGTACTACATTGTCTGTGAATTCTCCCCATCCTTTCCTACTTTCCCATGTAAGTCTTAGTTCTCAATTACCAGTTTGGATGAGTTTTTTAAAAATGTACGCATGTACAATAAGATACTAAAGCTTTGTAAAAGTATAGAAAATATAATATTTAAATTAGTTATTTCGCTTTTGATTTTGCTTAAGATGTTATACATATAGATGTTAGGTCTTAAGTAGCTATAATCAAACTATCAATATTTGCCTTCATGAGAAAAAGAACCCTTTCATAGTTAAACATATATTTGATTACCTGATGAACATGAAATGAATTTCCCCTTTTGTCAGGCTTCCTACACATAAGCATTGACAACTTTCTCTAGTCGAAAACAACAAGAAGTGAACACATTCATAAACACTGGGAGTTCCGAGTTTAAACAGTGGATAAATATTTTACACAAGCTATGAGGTTAAACATTTCACTGAGGAAACATTATATTACAAAAAGGGCTTGGATCATCTAGATTCAAGGCAGAAAATCTCTCACCCAAACACTCAAGCATCATGCTGAGCACACACATTAGTCTACTCAGCTGATGAAAGAAAAACTACAAATTCACTGGTCTACTTAATTATCAATGTCATGTGCTAACCACAGACAGTTCAGTAATTCAGGCCCTCACTACCTTGAGACCGACTGCTCTCAGCCAGGGGTGATTCTGTCCTGCAGGGGACATTTAACAATGTCTGGAGACAATTTCTGTTGTCACAACTTGAGGAAGGTGTTGAATCTAGTATATTTACTAGATATCCAGTACCTACCAGTATCTACCAGTAGTGTATAGAGGGTGGAGTGGAGGCCAAGGATGCCTCTAAACACCCTGCAGTGCACAGGACAGCCCCACTCCCAACCCCTACCCTACCACCCCCCGCTCCCCCATAAAGAATCATCCAGCCCTGTCTCTCCTGCCCCCCATACAATCTCACTGTGTGGCTCTGGGCATGCCACATACCCTCCAGGACTTGTGAGTAATAAATTACTAAATCTTGTTTTTGTTCAAAGTTTAAAAAAAAAGAAGAATCATCCAGCCCTATCCAGGTCAATAGTGCTGAGGTTGAGAAACTACACTAGGCTAACTCAATAGGAGTAAAATTATTTCTTACCTCTCCTGTATAATTATATTTGCCCTCCAGAATCTTCCTGTAAAGTCTTGTATGGCTTTCATCATCAAAAGGCAGGACTCCGCTAAGTAATACATATGTGATGACGCCAAGAGCCCACATGTCCACTGCACTGGTATAAGGTTTCCTTAGCAAAATCTCAGGGGCTATGTACTCTGGGGTCCCACAGAGTGTCATCATCGTCCAGTCTCCACTTTTGTTCCCAGAGTGTGCCAAACCAAAATCTGTGATTAAAATTTTCGACTCAGCCCCTGGATGATAATATAAGAGATTTTCAGGTTTTAGGTCCCTGTGGGTTATTCGCAACGCATGCAGATACCTGATGCCATCAGCAACCATCTGGAGAATTCTGACAGCGTCCTGCTCTGTAAAGGATCCCTGAGTCATGACTCGGTCAAAGAGCTCTCCTCCCGTAGCCAACTCCATCACCATGTAAACTCGATCCTGGGCCTCGAAGATCTCCACAAGCTGGACAATGTAGCGGTGGCTAACCCGCCTCAGGATGCTGAGCTCTGATTCACACGCTTCCCGGCCTTCCCTCACTCTGGTTTCCATCACTTTTATTGCAAAAGGTTTCTTGGTGATCTTCTGCTCCACCCTGACAACCTTGCTGAAACTGCCTGTCCCAATTAGAGCCTTGATGTCGTATCTATCGGGAAGAAAAGCCAAATCTGTTATCCTCTGAAGGGAAGATTCTTAAAATTATCTAAGTTGGTGCTTTATATCATCTCTTTTTATCTTTACACCCCCCCCAATCCAGTTCCTTTGCTCATTGTTGCTTAATTGTATTTCTTATTTTTGAAACCCTCCCCAGATTCTTCTTTGAAATGGAGGTAAGTGATATAAAAGTAATTAGTTGGTGGAAAGATAACTATTACAACAGTCTTAAGAACAGCAGCTACCATTTATTATGTGTTTATTGTGTGTCGGAAAATTTATTTTTTGAAAAAAATTCTTCTTACAATATCCCCATGGGCTAACATAATACTATCCCCCTTTTTCAGATAAGGAAATTAAGAATCATAAAAGTTAAGTGATTTCCCAAGGTCACCCAGATTGTAGTTGAAATGGATAGGATTTAAATCCAACCCCTTCAAAGGTGTTTCACCTAGTGAGGGCACACGCCCTATCTCTATCTCGCCCACCAGTAGCTCCTTGATAGATTAGTATTCATAACGTAAACACATCTGGTGGGGTTGGGGTTACAGCCACAGTTTCCTCCCAGCTAACCCCCTGCACTTGCAATTTCTACACAAGAAACAGAATTTTAACATGGGATATATGTTAATGCATGAAGTTATTCTCCCTTTCTCTCTCTCTCTCTCTCTCTCTGGGAAAGGCCAGGAAGTCAGCTAGGATTTCAAAGGCTGGCAATCTTAAACTTGAATTATCTGTGTAAACGTCTATGTGAATTTAAGAATTCTATCAAGTTTAACCCTCTATTTAAGAAATGTCGAGAAAGTGCTCCACTTAGAATCATGATTTTACAGCTGGGAAAAATATTAGAGAACGACTTAATCCAACCCCTCATTTTACGAATTAGGAAATTTGAAGATCAGGTTAGCAAATTGGTTGTTTAAGTTCTAGAGTAAGGATGAGAACCCAGGTAGCCTTACTTTTATTGTAATTTGCTGCTCTTCCACCTTATTAAAACTTCTCCCACAAAAGGGTGCCAGCGAATGGAATGTGCTCAGGGAGTATGCAGGGAAAAGTAACGCTTTCAGTTGCATACTCAGTAACAGAGATTCAAATGCAAATATCAGTCTGTGCGGTAAATAGCCTTACTTCTTTTTGCTGAGTTTATTCTTCTGGTAATTTTTTCCCCTACCTATCTGTTCCTCATATTCCTGTGCTTCCTGAATAAAAATGGCATTTGCTGTACCAGCTTACAGAAAACAGCTTTGTTCTATGCAGTGCATTTAATTTTCTGGCCAATTACTTTATCAAAACAGATAGCAATTTACTCAACTTAAATAGATTCTGTCGCCTCTTCTCTTTCCAACTTTGCTTTTTTATTCACATGCACTTTCAGGTTGATTTTTGAAGATAATCACAGGCATTTCAAAATTCTATTGCAATATTTACATTTACCTCTAATGTGGATGAAAGCACTTTGCAAATACTAATTTATCACTATGCTTTCAAAACTGCAGGCAAATTCATTTGCTCGTGGAATTAATCATCAGATATCAGATGAATTACCATCGCTGACTAACTGCACTCTTTTGTTTAAAGAAAAGGAGCTTTATTCAATACTGCTAAGGGGCCTTCATATACCAAATACTTGAAAAAAAATGCTAGTAATTTGGCAGTGAAGGGAACAGTAGGCTTTAAGCCAAAATGTAGAGTAGTGGAAATAAATGGTTTTAGATTGAATAACAAATGTCCCATAACAAATTCCTGTAACTGCAGCCTTGCTTGTGAGCCTGTGATGGCCATGGGCGGTGACTATTTTTATGACTTGAGTGGCTATATCTTCTGCAGCGCCTGGCACAGAGGGTACAGCAATAAATGTTGAATGAAAGAATCATTCATTGAACACCTATTATTTCCAAATGACCACATATATTTTGAAACATTAAGGATCGAATCAAGCCTCGGAGAAGGCATTACAAGGTCATTCCATTCCTTCCCCTTTCCACTGCTCCACTCCTACCCACTGCCAACAGAGCAGCCTCAACGTTAATGTTGTGGGTGGTGCAGTTTTACGTCATCCTCGAAATTGAAATTATTACTTTAACTTCAGCTGCAACAAACTAGGAATTTTTTGAACATGTATTTAAAAAAATGAAACCCGGAAACAGTAATAATACCACAATCTATTTGATAGAAGCAATGGAGAAAGTGCATATAGTCAGATTTAAATTCTATCGTCTCTATTCTGCAAGAGTTATAAGTGGAATCACAATGGAGAAGAAAGACAACTGTACTCTAGACTCAATCCTGCCACTAACTTGGACAAGTCACTTAATCTTCTGGGGCTTAACTCCTCATCAGGTAAAGAGCCTTGAGTTAGTCACCAGAGCCCTTACACTGTTGTGACCCTCCACCTCTCTGACCCCTTCACGCTCTAAAGGACTGGGACTACCCTGCAGATGGAGGTTATGAGAGTGGATAAGACTGGACCACAGCAGCCTCATGTCTCTGGCTATGGATGACCAGAGACACCATCTAACCAATTCAGTCATGATAAGATCCTATGTCCGTTCTGATTCAAGTTCAGTTGGATCAGCCAACTTTGTCTCTGAGCTTAGCAGCTACTGGACTAATCCACAAGGTTTCCTTATATTAGAAGTTCCCAAGTAGGCCAGGAAGTGGCTCTGCATAGACTCTGTTCACAGCACTGCAATGAAGTGCTCATACAATTTGAGGGCTAGAAATGTCCCTGAGAAGCCAGACGAGCCATCCACCACTGTGTCCCACCAAGCCCTGTAGAGTGGAAGAGGATTTCATGATTTTCTCCTCTATATGTCCAACATGGTACACTCTGAGGAAATTATTTTTTCAAGTCCAACCAACCTGTCATCTTTGCTCATTTCTTTTTTTTTTTTT